GGAAAAATCTTACTCTCAAGTCCTACGAAAGCAATGAGAAATTTTTCTTTTTAATTAAACTTTTTTTTTTTTTTTTTTTTTTTCTTTTTTTCTCTGTTCTTAATTTTACCCCAGACTGGAGCTGATGTGAGGGTCTGATAGACCTGAATACATGCAGTGTACTGCAGACCCAACATGCACATTGTCAGCTTCCCCAAACACTGTCCTCCAAGTGCTAAGAGCCAATGAAAGGATTTTCACAAATCCTTTCAAAAAGGTCCAAAATGCCAGTAAAATCAGAAGGTGAGCAGTTTTATTTTATTAAAACTATATACACAGTTTAATCTTTAATGCTGGCACAATGCTTTTTATGTCACCCATCACCTTGATATCTCAACAACTCAGAAGTATCTTAAAACAGAAATTCTATCTCCACTACATCTATTTTATTTCCTTTCAAAACATGTGAGAGCAACTAGCATGAAGAGTTCATGGCTCTGCTCTGAAGTGTGGAAAGCTTAGTGAATGAGCTGAAGGAAACTGGGTGGTTTTCTAATTAATTCTGAATGCAATCACCTTAAGAACTATCACCTTAAGAACTATCTTCTTTGATATTCTCAAAGCAGCAGCTCTTCCAGTTCTGAGTTCTTGGTTCCCAGATCTATTAGACGAAAGACTGTTAAGAACAGGGTAGATGAGTTTGTCACAGTTTCATGCCAAGTTACATTACATTCAGTTTCAGTCATTATTGCATTCATCCTTCTCAGACAGGAGTGTATGTCACCTAAACATTGAGATAGTGCTTCATGGCCTAAAAGAAATATGGGCCTTTGCATAAGTTGCTCTCTAAGGCTCTCCCACCTGTGTCCTCAACAGCCCTGCACAAAGATTCTTGTCAATTGGGAGTGAAATGATGGAGAGAACTTAGCTAAATTCCACAGATGAACCCTATATACTTTTTGGTGTTGTCTGGAAATGTTACCCCATCTGTGGCAAAAGACATCAGTTTGCTCCTGAGGTTTGTAGGCAATGGGACAGATGCAGTTGGTGGAGGTGGATGAAGGCTCTTAGTGGGAAAGACAGACAAATAGTCACATCTTGGGCAGCCTTTTTGTCCAGCTGGCCCAAGTTGCCAACACTTGTCAAGGTGCCAATTTTCTTAATCTTCTTGATTAAAAACTGTAGGGCGCACACTGAGAGGTCTCTAGATCATGAGTAACAGTCATTTTGGAAGGGTAACCCACAAACTTCAGGACTGCAACTGTATTTCTTTCTGACACATGGGTAGCTGGAGAAATTAAAACATCAATGGCAATTCCCCACAGCCACTCTCCTCCTCACAGCCAGGTTTCAGAAGTTTTGTGGCCATTCAAATTATAGTATCTTCTTGAAATTCTTGTGTGGTTACATTTATTCCGACCTTCTGGCATCCCATGTTCTCCTGAATCTTCTCTTTCAACTTGCTAGAGACCAGCCACTTGATACTACTAACGCTTACAGGCCTGAAGGAAAATATTAAATTATACATATGTTTACTTATGTTATTTATTTACATTGTTTTTGGAGATTAGAGAGTGAATAGACTTTTTTTCCCCTCCTTTGGTGATGATTCACTCCATTAAACTTTGCTTGTGAATACTAGCTAAAAAGGTTCTCAATGAGCTGATCTCTCTAACAAGAACAATGAGTCCCACACTTTCAGCAAATAATTTTTGTTTCCTGCAAGCAAGATCACAATACTAATCTGAGATGTGAAAGTAAGGCCATAGATAAATGCTAAATTTCGAATTTGTATCAGTAGCTATTTCTTACAAGTGCTGAGCTGCTAGCAACAGTAACTGAATCCACTTAAGTTTCAACCCTGAAAGCAATGTATTTTAAGTGCTGCGTTGCTCCAAATACATATACCTAGAACTAAAACAAATCCTTTCGCTTAGGATTCTCACAACACTTCCTCCTCAGTTTTCCTGAGTGTTGTACCCTGACTAATGGGAATGTAACATCTGCACAAAAGATGATGCTTGCATTCCTTTGACTATAATTCAAGAATAATCATACCAGCACATTCAGCACATCCAGATCGTGCTGAATGGCAACACAGCCTTCTGCTGTGTCAGCCTTCCTGCCAACCTTGTATCATCAGCAGACTTGCTGAGGGTGGACACTGTGTGCTCACAGTCAGGTCATTGATGAAGATGTTGAACAAGAGCAGACCCAGCACTGACCCCTGCAGAACACCACTAGCTGCAGGCCTCCAGCTGGACTCCGCACTGATGATCACAGCCCTCTGAGCTTGGCCTCTCAGCCAGTTCTCCACCCACCTCACCATTCACTCACCTATCCCACACTTGCTCAGCTTCATTATCAGGATGCTGTGGGAGACAAAATCAAATGCCTTGCTGAAATCAAGTCAGACTACATCCACTGCTCTCCTGCCATCTACACATCCAGCACTGAAATCATAGAATGCCACCAGGTTGGTTGTGAAGATCTTCCCCTGGTGAACCCATGCTGACTACTCCACTCCTGATAACCTTCTTCTCTTCCAGTTGCTTGGAGATGGCATCTAGAACAGGCTGTTCCACTACCTTTCCCGGGACACAGGTGAGATGGACTGCCCTGTAGTTTCCCTGGCCCTCCTTCTTGCCCTTTTTGAATAACAGACACTGGCTATCCTGCAGTCTTTAGGCACCTCTCCCATTCTTCAAGGCCACTTAAAGATGATAGAGTGCAGTTTGGCAATCACCTCTGCCAGCTCCCTTTGTCCTTGGATGCACCCTAATGGAGCCCATGGATTTATGCACATTGAAGTTGCCAGGACGCTCTCGGACTACCTCCTCCCTCACCAAAGTAAAGCCTTCCATTTCCCCGACTCTCTCCCTTACCCCCAGTGTCCAGGATTCCAGTGAAGTCTTCGCAAGGAAGGTGTTCAGTATCTGCCTTCACAGCATCCCCCATTACAAGAACACCCCCCTCATTTAGTAGGGGACTCACGTTTTCTCTAGTCTTCCTTTTACTGTTGGCATACTTTAAAAAAGCCTTTCTTATTATCCTTTATCTCCTTTGCCAGATTCATTCCAGGTGCACTTTAGACAACCTCCTTATATTCTTCCCAAGTGTTCAGATGTGTGGGAATATGAGAAAAACTGTTCAGAGCAGCAGCTGTGGAGCAAGATAAACAGTACGAGAACCAAGGACACCTTTGAAGAACAAAGAACGTCTCATGGATCTGATTGGCTAAGCGTCAGTGTGAATGAAGAGTGTTTTGCAGAATGCTCTGTTAACATGTATAAATAGAATAGCTCTTAATAATAAAGTAGACTAATAGCTTTTAACCACACTGATGTGCTGTTATGTCTCTGACCATGTTCCTGACAGTCCAGAGTCAGGACTTCCCCATGCAGATCCTTTTTCTACATTTCATGGACCTTCTTCTTTTCTTTGAGTTTATGAGTAAGCTCCTTGCTCATCCACACAGATCTCCTGCCACCCTTCCCTGATTTCTTACTCATATGGCCACACCAATCCTGAGCTTGGAAGAAGTGTTGTTCAAATGCTGACTTGCTCTCACAGGTTCCCTTACCTTCTAACACCCTAGCACATGGGATTGCTCCAAGTATTTCTCAAAGCAGAAAGAGTCACAAAATTAAGCACCACAAATATAAAGTAAGTATTTCTTGATTTTTACAGCTGTTGGCTGCCTACCTCTCCTAAACTGCATTTGATTCAGTGCTGGCATTGTTGGATATTTTTAGGGGTTATTCCTTTTGCAGACAGAAGTGACAAAATAATTTGCCTGTTTTAAGCATCCTTGGTTTCTTCAGCAGCCAGCTAACAGCTCCAGCACCCTGTGTGCTCTGAGACAGAAGCAAGGTAGCTGTGAAAAAAGTTGATCAACAATAAATTGCTTCAGGAACTTAACTATTCATTGCCAAACTAAGAGACAGAATGAAGTATCTAGATAAATTTGTTATGTGAAAATAAATAAGTTGCTGACACCAATGGGATTTTTGCTATCTTGAACAGTAATGATAGTGCTCTATCTGAATGTGCAAAAAAAGTACACTTTTGCATCTTGTCATCCTAGCATGACTGCAAAGATCAGTACCAGTAACCAGGCAGTTCTGAGGCTGCAATCTGTCATCATCTGTCTGGAAGTTTCTATTCTTTTTCTTTATTGCTTATTCCTTGAGAAAGCAAATTCAACCTTAAATTTGTATGATGAGGTCTGGTCTGCTGATAATAAGCATATCGTTCTTATTTGTATCATGCACTGTAGGAAGTTGCTCTTGGAGTGGCTGTGATTAAAATTGTAAGCCTACACTTACTTTACAGAAGCAAAGCTTCTGAAATATCACAGAGAGGGACACAATTTTGGCACATCTCTGTTGAGAAAAATGAAGCTACGTAAAGTGTATCAGTAGGGAACTAGGCCTTAGAAGCTTTCATGAAAGAGGTGGTATTATCTTCTAAATGATGTTGACAAAATATGAAGACTGATCAGGTTTTAAAAGGATTGAAATGAAGAAAGCACAGGGACACCTAAAAGATGTAGAGAAATTCACTAACTATATCCACACACAGTTGGAACCCAACATTTGGTGGTGTGGCAAACAGTATAGCATGTTAACAGCACTATACTGCATCATGTGAGTGCAAAAATATTGATGCATCAGAGTTATTTAGACATTTAGAATTAAAGCAAAGGATTAGAATTCCAAAGACAAATGATCTCCTAATGACAAATACAGGTTTTTTATATTTAATGGGCTTGCAAAATGGAGAATTCTGGGGATCCTTTTGTTTGACTACTTGGTTTCATAACAGGATAGCAACGTGGAGTCACCGCTGTGTGGCCACACATGCTGAACACCACGCTGCAGCCACTCCTCTGCTAATGTGTATGAGTCTGAAGGATGCAGCTGTCTGCAGTCTGAAGGATGGCGATTACCATTGGGCCGCACATTTGGGTGGGACCTGGGGGGCGGGGTGATGTCAATAACGTCACCCGTATGCGCCGCAGCTGAGCTGGAGGACAGCGTGGGCTTGGTGGAGAGCGTGCTGGGTAAAGCTGCAGAAGCGGGCAGTCGAGCTCCCGGGACGGCGAGGGGTGGTATTGATAGCGATCGTGAGTAATTGTCTGTCTCGCGTGTGCCGGCCTTCTTTCGCCTCCAGCCCTCAGCCCGATACCCGTGTTGCGGGAGTAGCGCGGTGCCCCCCGGGGTCCGAACCGCGCTCCGTGGGGCCGCCGGCTTTGCCCTACAGCCTGCTGCCGGGCCGGTTGGCGCAGAGCGCTTCTGGAAGTCTGGAAGGCCAAGTTGCCGCTTCAGCTTTTTGAGTAAACTTGCCTGCAGTAAACAGGAGAGCGGTGAAAACGCAGTCAGAAGCAGTGGGCAATCAGCAATAAGATCTAGTCTTTCGTTGCTGCTGACCTTATTTGCTTTTCTTGTTAAAAGCTTTTTATGCAGCTTGCCCTTCTTGTAAGATTGTTGGTAAGTGTAACTTCCTGAAAGAACTTGACACGTGATATATTAAAGCTTTCAAGGTGATTAACAAGTTATTCTGTTCACTGGCTTCTTCTAATGCTTGGAAGCATGGAAGGTAAAACTAGTACCTTAATAAATGGTATTTTGTAATTCATCTGAAGATTTTTGTGTTATGTAAGTCAAAAGTAATGCCTCCTTGTTATTTCAATGGAAGTGACAGCAAAGAGCACAATAACACTACTTGGTAGAGCAAATTGTCAGCTACAAAGTGCTGTTTTACAGCATTGTCACCACCATTAGCTATGCATTTTTGCCAGTGATGAACAGGAGTTGAAACATGTAGATGTTGTGCTAGGAATATGGTTTAGTGGGCAGTACTGGTGGTAGGTGGACAGACTAGAAAATCTTTAAGACCTTTTTCAACTTCAATGATTTTATGAATTTGTGTTCTATTTATAGAAATATGCACCAGCTGTTGCTGCTTCTGTAATGTACTTCCCACCACTTCACTGTGCTCACGTCCTCTGGTTGGTCTCTGTAAATGTTCAGCAAGCATCAGTGAATGTCAGTGGATGATTTTTTTTCTGCATGGAGGAATTCATTGATGTTCTTCTGTTTGATAACCACTTCCATGTCAGATGCCATTTTGTTGTTTGTGCTGCCATCTGTTGCACGGAAACAAAGTAGGGTGGAATATGGGTGGGAAGCCTCAGCCTCTACTGTCATACTACAATCATCTGCCACTGATGTCATGGGCCTGAATAATAACATAAGAGGCATTACTTTTGGAGCATCCCTTGTAGTTGTGTGTGTTATTTCCTTCACTCACAATGAAGTTGAGTTTTACAGGTCATGCTGACTTGCAGGAGTAGTCCATGAGTGTCAACATTGGCAAGAGAAGATTGCTTTTTATGTTTCCAGTGTCAGGAAAATAACTTTTCACATTGCAAATGGTATTTATAAATGGCAGGTGCACTGAGTTAGAAACAGTCAAAGAATCACAGAATAGCCAGGGTTGGAAATGACCTCAAGGGTCGTGAATCTTCAACCCCCTGCCACATGCAGGGCCACCAACCTCCCCACTTAACACTAGACCAGGCTGCCCGAGGCCCCATCCAACATGGCCTTTAACACCTCCAGGGACGGGGCATCCACAACCTCTCTGGGCAGCCTGTTTCAGCACCTCACCACTCTCTCTGTAAAGGATTTCCCTCTCACATCCAACCAAATGTTCCATCCCTTAAAACCATTTCCCCTTGTCCTGCAGTTATCAACCCTTTGGAAGAGTTGATTCCCCTCCCCTCTGTAGGCTCCCTTTAGGTATTGAAAGGTTGCAATGAGGTCACCCTGCAGCCTTCTCTTCTCCAGGCTTTTATTTTTCAGTCCTGTCTGCTTTGCAGCCATGTTTTTTTGTTTTTTTTTAACCTGGAATCTTTTCCCAAGTTTGCATATGACTCAAGCTTGTAGTAAGTATAGATGCAATGTTATCCAAGTACCATGTATCGCTTCTTCCTTATTTCCCATTCTTTGTGTTTTTATGCAACTCATTAATCCACAGATAATCAGAGTGACTCTATTCGTATTGGCCAACATCTGCTATGCTTATTATTTGTTCCTTTGCAAATTAAAATATTAAAATATATAACCATACTGTTAGCTTGACTGACATTTTTATGATTTATGAAGTCCATTCAATATGGACAATGCATTGAATGTGAGATATATCTTAAAAATGCACTGATCATTTGTTAATTCTTTATGTGTAGAAGTATGAATTAAAAGTACTTTTGAAATGGTTGTTAAAACTTTACACTACCATTAGTGTTCCTAATATTTTTTGTAATGCTTTCAGTTCGACTAGTGAACATGCCTTTCTAAAGGTGAAGTGCATCAACTTCAGAAAAATGAAATCCAGATATTATATTGTGTACAGAATATACATAAAAATATTGCAGAAGACAATGCGTTACAAAAGAAGTGTCTCAATAAACATCTCAGAAACAGTAGCTCTAGTATCTTTAGTATGTAATTCTTTGTGTAATTCTTGCTCTTTTCCTATCTTTCCTGTTTACCTGCCTTCTCTTCCCCATTGTTCTAATTTGTGATAACTGCTGGGCTTTCCCTTCCCCATCTCCTTAACTGATGATGAACTGGTTAGGAAACATTTGACCTTGATTGTGTCTCAGTCTCACTCTGGGTATATCAAAGAATCTCCCCTCTTGCTCTGATAATCACAGCAAGTGAGTTATTAAACAGCATAGCTGAGGCAGGATACCTGACAGTCAGAGTGTTGTCCCTCCAGAGGTGGCTGATGTCTGTAATTCTTGGGGATGTAAGGAGTAATTTTGAGTATTTGCATTTGATTGATATGTATGTACTTCTCCAGGAAAACCACTCTGCATTTTGTGACTTAAGTGTATTGTTCAAACTTTTTATGTGTATCTTTTGGGGATTTGAAAAGTAATTTTGAGTATTTGCATTTGTTGGATGTGTGTGTCCCTCTCTTGGACAATCACTGCATTTTGTGACTTAAGTGCATTACAACTTAGGTGTGGTGTTTAAATTTTTTGTGTGTGCACCTCTTGGGGATGTGAGGAGTGATCTGAGTATTTGAATCTGTCAGATACATGAGCCTCTCCCAAAAGATCACACTGCATTTTGTGAGATGAATGGTAGTGAAGCCACTATGGAAAACAGAAATATATTGTTTGATCTCTTAGGAAAGCATGGTTCCATATGCATGTTATCAGGGGTATATTGGGCACTCCAGAATTGGCGTAATTTGCAAAGCGCTTCTGACTGCATTAGTGCTTTGCAAAAAGATGCTTGTTTCTGAGCTGGAAAAGGAAAGTTGTTTGTATGTGCACTTCTGGGTACTGCTCTGCTTGCAACCGCAGAGTTCAGAGAATTATAGCTTACAGCAGAAAGCCAAACTAGACAGTTGCTATGGAACAGACAGAGGAACTTCTATCAGGGAACAGAAAATTGCAAAAATTGGTAAAAGCTTTGCAGAATTGGGTACTGGAAGTTGAAGGGCAATTAGAGAATGAAAGACATGGTGAAGTACTCTTACAGGAGGCCCTGAAGGAACAGCTTGTTTGCAAGGACGATAATAGCACTAGCACTTAAAAGCCCTCCTAAAGGAAAAAATCTATCTTCTGGAGAGATTGGATGAAATAAAGGCAAGGCTACATAAACTAGAAACCTTGGCAACCCAATTGCATCTTTTGATAAGAACCAAATATTTATACAAAAGTGGTGACTAATTAAATCCTCAGATGAGTATTTAGAAGATTACTTTTTTTTTTTTCTACTGAATTAGCAAAATTGAAAAAAGATTTTGACTGTTCCCCTAAGGAATTGGAGATGGAGTATATGTGGAGGGTTAGCCTTACTGGTGGAGACAAGATACTGTCCACTGAAGAAGAAGCTTAAGGGTAGTGGTGGCTAGGAGTATTTTTAACTACTGGTAACAGTTGGGCACCATGGTCTTTGATGCAGAGGACTGCCTATTGGGCATGTGGTCTCAATTGACAAGAAAGAGAGATCCTCTTGCCAGTTCTGGGACAGTCATCCAATTAGTAGATATTGTTCAAAAGGCTGCTTGTCTCCAAATGATGTATGATGGAAAGCTTCAGCTGCACCAGGAATCACTCATGATGATGCCCACTGATCCAAGAGGATGACTCCTTTAATTAGGGGTCTTCCAGAATCTTTGAAACCTGTAGGTATATGACTAAAAGGAAAAATACAGATTATGTCTCAAGGAGGCAGAATCCGGGCAGCATTAGAAGGAACAGTAACTGTCAACAGTTGGAGTACAAAGCGTGGAAGTTGTGGGGCACCACCACTTCCTCCTTCCCACCTGACCTCTGTCAAGCCTTGCCCTTTACCTCTGGGAGCAGCATACCTTTGCCCACCTCCTTCAGTGGTTCAAGCACTCCTCAGTTCTGGCTCATCATGCACTGGCACAAGAGCTTAAACAGATTCCCCTGGAAGATGAGGTTAAGCTTTATTGATACTCCAATGATACCTGTATAGGAGGTTGTCAGTTGACACAACAATGCATGACAAAATAATCAAGTGATTAGAGGAACTGGGGTTGACAGTTCCTCCAGATAAAAATCAGTCCCCAGCTGCTGAGGTAAAATTTTTGGGCATCTGGTGGAAGGGTGGCATGGCCTGCATTCCACAATACCCTCTTGGCTTTAGACCAACTCAAGATGCCGGAGAGTGAAAAGGAATTACAGTGTACTCTTGGCCCCTTGGTTTTCCAGAGAAAACACATTTCTGATTTCTCTGTTATTGTATGGCTATATGATTTATTGCAGAAGGGAGCTTTCTGGGAATGGACCCCAATCCAAGAGGAGACCTTGCAGCTGCCAGTAGTTGAGGCTACCGCCTGCCAGGCCTTAGGTCACATCCATCCTTCCAACCCAGTTCATATAGAATAGGAATTTGCTCAATCAGGATTATATATACACTTCTGGCAGAAGGGGTTGCAAAGTCCCACTAGACTTATTGGATTTTATTCCGGCAGCTTTAAAGATGCAGAGAAGTGATACTCTCAGCTGGAGAAAGGGCTGTTTGTTGTTAGCTTGGTCTTGCAGGAAGCTGAACATACCATGGGACAGCAGCCTGT